AATCAAACATTCATATTGAAAGGACGCTCAACGCACGCACTGCGATTAATCGCGCGGGAAGACAGCTGATGCGCTGCGATTAATCGCGCGGGAAGACAGCTGACGCACGCGCTGCAATTAATCGCACGGGAAAACGGCTGATGCATGCGCTGTGCTGGTTGGGATTGGAGAAGAATCGTAGTTTCAAGTTCTTCAAGGTCAGCCTGCCTAGAATACAAATTTGTCTCACCATTCTTAGAAGTGCGTGAGGGCAGCCGTCACGTAAGTTCGTTTTATTGCTGGTACAAATGGTGTAAACCGGATAATCGATTTAATAAATTTTTTTGGAAGTTTTAAAATTAAGTTCGAATGCCAAAACATGCTCATCGCCTCTCTACCGCCCAAAACATGCCCACCGCCCCCCAGCGCCCAAAACAAGTTCAACCCCCCTCAGCATCCTCCCACCGCCCCCCGGGGGGCAGTACCGCCCCCGTTGAGAACCAATGATTTAAAGTATGACAATTTGAGCCAGGTTATTTGTGCCTTGAATGAGAACCCAGTCCTGATCCATTTGTTTGTTTTCTTGGCTATCTCTGGTATTCTCAGGAGTCTTCTCCAACACAAAAGTTCACAATTTGTCTTACCCATGTTAAAAGCCATCTCAGCTACATGGATTTGTGAATTCCATTTTTTTCTACATAAACTCATGGGAATTATGGTGTCTTCCCATGTAGCTGGTCATCCAGCTGGAAGAAGAACTCTGGCAAGCATGAAGATCTGCTTGGTAATTTAAAGATGTGGACCTAATAAAAGGCTTTGGCTTACCACCATGCTTGACTTAGGTTTAATTATGGTTGATGGGAATGGAAGAATGGATGTTAAGTGTAAATGTGTGTGTAGATATACACACTGAATCCAACTATATCAGGATTTTGAGGAAGATGTTCATGTTCATGGCCCACACAGCAGAATGAGGAATGAGACCAATAAGTATTATCAGAGCTTGAAATATATAATATATAAAATATAAAAACACCAAGGAAACCCATTACCACTTAAAAAGAAGGGAGTGGGGGAAGGTGTAAACATGGAGTATAAAATGACAGTGATGCACTATTACCTTTATATCTGACAAATGATTTATTAATTATGGAATTTATATCCTATCCTTCTGTTTATTTCAATTAGCAAGATGGCTTACAACAAATTATAGTATGCAGTTGGAAAACATGGAAATATGTGGCTTGAAGCAACGGAACTGAGCCATCATTTTAGCAAGTTGAGGGCACCAGGCCTTCACATTTGGCAAAGTTCCAAGTTAAATGTGGACTGGACGGTGTGATAATTAGGTAGCAGACTCAAGACTCACTCGCCAAGCATGGTCATCGTTGGTTCTCCATCAAATCTGGGGAGAGGGCTCAAACAAGGCCCTCCACTCCTCAATCTTTCTATTAAGAAGTTGAATGAAGAGGGAAGGGAAGTGCATTTCAACTTTGCAGATGGTTCCAAATTGGGTGGGAGGGCTAAGTAAAATTGAATCCTGCTAGGTTGGAGAAATGGGCTGAAAATCACAGAGTCCTAGGGTTGGAAGATACCTTGGAGGTCACCTAGGCCAACCCTCTGCCCAGGACAAGGACCTCAGACCATCCCCGACACATGGCTTGCCCAACCTTTGCTTGCAAGGGAGACCCCCATGGATCCAGGAGGCAGGCTGGTCCGCTCTGAATAGCTCCTAGAGTCAAGACATCCCTCCTTGTCTGGAGTTGGGATCTCCCTCCGCAAAGCTTCCATCTGTTGGTTCTTATCCTACCCTGGGTCACTCCAGAAAATACACCCACCCCTCTTCCTTGGGGCAAACTAGAAAGCCTGCCGTTCTGTCGCCCTTTAGCCTTCTCCGGCGGCGGTATTAAATGAAGAGACCAGCGCAGAAGGCTTCCCTCAGGACACGCAACGTGGCGTCGTGGGAACCTACCTGCCATATGCATCCTTTCCTTGGACGGACCTCAGGCTGTATTCCCAGACCCCGCGGCTGCTCCCCCTCTTCTGACCCCTGCCCCGCCCAGCAAAACAGCACCCTTTGCATCTTGCAACCTTTTATTTCTTCAGCGCATTGACAGGGCCGCCCACTCAACGCACAGGGACTCCGGGCGGCTTACGAAGTAAACCCCCCCAGTAGAAAAGCCCCTCGACGCCCACCCACCTGGGCACCTCTGCTCTTTGTTTCTGGAGCAGAGGTGCACAGCGGGTCCCCAGCGCATGGCAGCCCGGCGCTCCTTCCCCGGAGGATCCCTCCAAAGGCAGGCGGAGATTGCCCGTTTCAACCGGGAAGCCGGGATCGAAGAGCCTCCGGGCACGTCCCAGGCTGGCCTCCGCGGCCGCGCCAGCGCGCAGACGCAGGAATGGGAAGGCCGGAAAGAGGTCAGCCTTCGCGCCGGCGTTTCTGTAGTGTAGTGGTTATCACGTTCGCCTCACACGCGAAAGGTCCCCGGTTCGAAACCGGGCAGAAACAACCTTTTCATTTTTTTTTTTCCTTATTTCTCCTTTCCAGAGCAGCCCACTTTTTATTCCTCTCTAGAACGATGCTCCCTAAAACTTAAGGAGAGAGGGGAATGGTTAGTTTAAATCAGGTTGCGGCGCGTGCCTAGGCTGTATTGTGGTGCTTTAACTTGGCCAACGA